CGACGAGTTTTCCGCCATCCGAGAGCACGATCGCGCCACCATCCACGAGGCAAGTTTGCTGTCGATGAACCACCTTCTACCACCGCTGTGTCGTTGGGTTGGTTGACTTGGGAGGCACGAGACAGCGGGTGCAGGAGGCCAGGGTCTACACCCCGCGGGCTCGGCTGGTGGGGTTCAGCAAGACCCTTTCGAGACAACGACCATGATATCATACCGTTCATGACGTGGGGCAAGCACGCCAAGCGCTGCTGCGGAACGGCCTAAATTGCACGCCGCCTTCGTGCACAGCAAAACCCTACAACCATCGCCTCACTTCGCGCCCCTCACCCAGGTTNCGTGACCAGGCCATGGAGCAGCAGACGCTGAGCGTGGCCAAGGCCGGCCTGGTGTGCAAGCTCAACGCCAGGACGACCGCCTTTGCGGTCACGAACACCAAGGTACGGTGTACGCTTTACTTCCGTTTGGCGAGAAGTGTCTTCCAACCCCAAGAATAACACCGAACCGCTCTTCCCTTCGGCAGGACGATGGTATCACGTGCGAACCTAGGCGTCGATCTCGCGCTATTGCTGCGGCGCAAACGGTCAAGCTTCGTTCGCAGCAGGCACTAACTAGTATGTAGTATTTAGGTTGTTCTGCCATGGGCTATAGGTCGACTTCAGTGTTATTCATCGCGCTCAAGGGTACATAGCAAAGCGCGTATCCCCTCTCCCGCTCCGAACGCTGCGAACTGCGAACGCAGGGAACGTACGACGCGGCGGAAGACATGACGGTCAACACCGCCATCGGAAGCCCCCTCTTGTCCCGGTTCGCCCTTGTGCTGCTGCTGCTCGACACAAAGAACGAGGTGAAGTGCTTTCCATGTGTGCTTGGTTGTGGTTTGGTTCGAACTGAGCTGCTGTAGGATNACCGAACGCTGCGAACTGCGAACGCAGGGAACGTACGACGCGGCGCAGGACATGACAGTCAACACCGCCATCGGAAGCCCCCTCCTGTCCCGGTTCGACCTCGTGCTGCTGCTGCTCGACACAAAGAACGAGGTGAGGTGGTTTCCATGTGTGCTCTGTGGTTGGGGTGGTTTTGTTCGAACTGGGCTGCTGTAGGACAATCGATGTCGAGGGTAGTTAGTCTACAAGTGCAGCTCGGAGTACAAACGGAGGAAACTGTGTGTTGAATGGGGCTAGAAAGGGGGAGGTGAGAGGTGCGGTAATAGGACAACAAAGTAAGTGTTACAAGTTTGGGACGTGTATGCCCAAATGCGTGTGCTGTATCATTCGCGGGCCACATACCCCCTCCCTCCCTCCGCCCCGGGCTCCCACCCCATATGTGATGTCGCGTTGCTCCCGCTATGGGTCCGCCTTATTGAAAACCCAAACCATTGCGACATGACCCTCCTTCCCCCGTGTGTCATTTCTCGTCCCTTGAACGCCGTGCAGCAATGGGACAAGGTGGTATCGACGTTCGTGCTGAGGGCCGCGATAGGTCCTGCTGCTCCACCCGTCCGTCCCAAGGCGGTTGCTGCTAGGGCGGCGACAGTGGCACCTCGCGATGGCAGCAGCGGTGGAGGTGGTCCCAGCAGCTCCAGCCAAGCAGGTTTGGAGTAGCGTGGGACATATCGGCATCTGTTCTCTCTGAATGAAATCATGATGCAACCTTTTCTTTCCGTTTCGAGCGTGTCTATTTTCCCCCGCATGACTTGGCTTGTCGATTGACACGCGTCGCGTCGTTTCCTTGGGCGATTCTAACGTACGCAGTGGATTCCCGCCCACGTCACAGGGAAACCCGCCGCCGGGGGCCCGGCGGGGAGAGGGGAGGAGGAACCGGTCTCGAGCAAGCCCTGGGGCACGGAAAAGCTTCAGAAGTACCTGTGCTACGTCAAAGACACGTTCACTTCTGTACGGCTTTCGAAGGACGCGGAGGTGAGAGGTTTGTAGAATTTCGACCAGGCATTTTTTGCGAGGAGGCGCGATGAGCCCTGGATGAGGGGGGGAGGTGTACTCGCCGTCAATCAATCCACGTGTGGCATGCCCATGTTCCGCTCACGAAAATCAGCACCGACACATTGCAGCTTACACTTGCCAGTATTTGCCACGTTTTGACAACCCAACAATCAGCAGAAAATGGTTTGTACAGCAGCAGTAGTGGTGTCCCTGTAGAATTCAGACCGCAACAACGAAACCGGTCGCCATGCCTAAGGCCGATGAAATCGCGTGACACAGGCAAAATATTGCACGTTGTGTCTCATACTCTGAATATTGGGTTCCCGATGCAAGGCCGCCCGCCAAATCCGTTGGCACCATACGACCTTAGACAGGGACCACTACCGCACCGTCAAGACCTCGGTTTGCGGGTGGCATGGTTTTTGCCGTACGCTCTGCACGTGTCGCATTCGTCGCAGTCGCGCAGGAGTAGCGGGGATTTACTACCAGATCCAGCGGAGCGCCGACAACCGATCGGCGGCGAGGACGACCGTGCGACTGCTGGAGTCTCTCATCCGCCTGGCGCAGGCGCACGCGCGGCTCATGTGCAGAACCGAGGTCACCCTTCAGGTGTGTAGGAGGGGTTGGGTTTTGTAGCTGCATGTATGTTTGCTTTGGGGGCGGGGTGCGTGAACATTTCCTCCAGCCCTGACTATAACGGAGGGTAGCTCAACATCGATTTGTCGAATCTCTCACGTTTCTGGCTCATTGTCGATGCTCTAGGTGGGCGCGCCGCTCTTGAGCAGAAAAATGGTCCGTGGTTGATACTTGTTTGTTGTTGGGTGTGTACTTTCTGGCAAAGACTGAGCTTTGGTCAATTTAATACTGCTGGTGACGGACCTCTTCAAGATCTTGGGTGGAACGAAAAGTAGGGGTGCCCAGGCATATGGCCATGTCTGCCGAAGGCCACGGTGCGCTTGTCCTCGCCTGAAGTAGCAGCGGTCGCACGGATGCCAGGCACGGCTATGGTGCGCATGCCAACGTGGACAATGCTCACGAGTGCAACCGCTTTCCTCTCGCCCTCTCTCCCTCTGTGTGTGTGTGTGTGTGTCTGTCTATCTGTCTGTCTCTGTCTCTGTCTCTCGCGTGCGTGCGGGCGGGCGCGTCTTTGGCTGAATTTTGCAGGATGCCGTGGTGTCCGTGATCTGCGTCGAAACGGCCTTGCACTCGACGGCACAGCTGGGCNGCGGGCGGGCGCGTCTTTGGCTGAATTTTGCAGGATGCCGTGGTGTCCGTGATCTGCGTGGAAACGTCCTTGCACTCGACGGCACAGCTGGGCGTGGACTCCGTCCTCCACAGCGACTTTCCCCCGAATCCCGACGAAGGTGAGCTTGGATGGCTGACGCATTTGAACGTAGGTTCACACGCGGCTTGTGACAGGATGAGGTGATGCCGCTTGGTTTTTCCGGATGCTGCTCACTACCCTGCCTGCTTGTGAACGATGTGTGTGTTTGGAGGGTAGCTTTGCTCATCGGCAGCCGAAGATGCCAGCGTACACCGAAGATGTTNGGCACAGCTGGGCGTGGACTCCGTCCTCCACAGCGACTTTCCCCCGAATCTCGACGAAGGTGAGCTTGGATGGCTGACGCATTTGAACGCAGGTTCACACGCGGCTTGTAACAGGATGAGATGATGCCGCTTGGTTTTTCCGGATGCTGCTCTCTACCCTGCCTGCTTGTGAACGTTGGGTGTGTTTGGAGGGTAGCTTTGCTCATCGGCAGCCGAAGATGCCAGCGTACACCGAAGATGTTCTCTGCGGCGTGTCACCGCACGCTCCCTTTGCCGAGGGTGGAAGAAGTGTTCTTTGCTCTCGTCGAAGATTTACTTGCTGCATTGTGGACATCACCGTCACACGTCTCGTACGGAAATGAAGCCGGGAAAAGGCTGGTACTGCTTGGGCTCCCATGGTTAAGCCTCTCATGGGCTTGTGTTGAAGGCCACCCCCAGTGCACTTCACATCTGACGTCGTCTTCATTAGCGACCCCTTCGCGCGCTGTTATGACACCCTCCGATGTTTTTGAGCTCCTCTTTGCTCTGTCTTCGCCCCTTGCTGCCGCTGCTCTGCTCTCCTGCTGTATGTCAGAGTTCGAGCTTCAGCAGGGCCTTATCCTGGATCGGCTCAAACTCAGGTGAGGGGTATCAAAGCGCGGTTGCCGTGGGTACCACTATGCTCGCCATGAGTCCCAATCGGCGCACGCACGTAAACACGGTGTTATTTGAATGTATGCGGGACACACTGACCTCAGTTGCTCAGACGCGCCACCCCCGACGGGTATTACCACGGCGCTTTGTTTACGATGGCCGAAGACCTGGTCGCCATGGTGCAACTGGTTAAACCTTGGGACATCGCACGTGTTTCCCAGGCAGGCAAACCATGAACGAACGCTCACCATCGAAGAAGCATTGAGCCACCGACACCCCCCACACCGGTCGCCCCGGTGGTCTAGTGGTATCCTTGTAATCCGCGGTCGTGAGTTCGAATCCCCATTGGGTGAGAAATTTACGAAATGTGCGGGTGAAAGCGAAATATAGCTGACGAGCTCTCGTGAGTACCAAACTTCGACGTTAGCACCGTTGACGAGCGAAAGGGAGGGCTGGACCCCTCTCGCGCTAATAATAAAATTCAGCACGCACCGCAGGAGGAAGGTCGGGCATGAAAAAAAATATAAAGAAGAAAAAACCCTGGTGTTAACCCCCTCCTGTGTGACCCTGGATGGTTGTAGCTGTACGAAAAAATACGCCGAAAAGTGTAGTACGCTGAAAAGTGTAGTACTCTACATATGCTGAAAAGTGTAGTACACGTCTCACCACGAAAAATAGGGGGATTGTCGCCATAATAAACAGGACGAAAACACACAAAACACACACACACCCTCCCTGAAACAACTGGTATTTTTTTACACGCAGCCATCTCCACCGCAGGAGTCCTCCACCGCCCCCATTTGTCACTCGAAGGGGTCCCGGTGGCTCGGAACGTTCCTTGGGGGGCAGCAGGAGCCGATCCCAGCATGGTGGCCTGTTATTGGTTTCGTTGTTGTTGTTGTTGTTGTTGTTGTTGTTGTTGTTGTTGTTGTTGTTGTTGTTGTCTTCACATCACTGACCGTTCCGGTCTCCGCTCTGGACCTGCTATTGTCGGTACTCGTCCAACTGATCTATAGACGAAAATAATCTTGCCCCCGTGTCTTTCAACCTCATTCGCAAACGCCCTCTACGTTCCCTTTCACATCATGCAAACAACACGGGCTCATGATACCTCCACCCTCGTCAGGCCGTGCAAGCCACCTTGGGTGTGAAGGGCTGGGCGAGCTAGTTCGCCGCCGTGAGCTCCGCGAGGACTCTTCTGCTGCACCATCCTGACGAGCTCGAAGGGGAGGATGGAGGTCCGCGCTTGATCGGACGGCTGGTGTCTCTTGTGGTGGACGCTGTGTCCAACAGGCGGTCGGTGGTACAGACGAACGGCTTGCGATGTTTGGGCGAGATGTTCAGGTGCGTGTTGGATGTGGTCATGTTGGCGTGTGATGTTGAATTGAAGAATTTGGGATGTGTGTCCGGCTCATCTAGGTTTAGGGTTTCGTGCTTAGACAACGACCATGTACCCGCAATTTCCGCTATTCGTCTGCTGCCTTGATTCCGCATCAACGCATTGACTTTGGTCGACACCGCTGTCCCCGCCGCTGCTGCCGTCGCCACCGTCGTTCCCCCGTTTCCATCGGCGACGATACCCGGTTCCCAGCTGCGTGGTGGGGAACGGAATGACCGCCGACCAGATGGGAACGCTGGTTAGGTCTACGCTGTCCTGCCACAAGTCGTCCTCCAAGTTCTGCGGGGAAGAGGCGAAGAAGGTGCGGACGGGGCAGGCACAGGGCAGATGTACGTTGCTTCAGCAGCGATGCTGCCGTTGTTACAGCTGTATTTGGCCTTGCGTGGTTGGAATCGTGCCCTGAGACCTTCAACCTCGCATGGAATATGCATCACTGCAGTCGTTGTTCCTCACGTCTGTACCAGATGATCTTGCTGCGCGGCAATCAACAGAGCAACGCCTTACGACGGCATGCTCACGTCGACTTTCGACAGATCTGCACCGTCAACATATTTGGTTCCCTGTCGTTTTCCACGTATCATTCCACATCTCACGACCAGGCCATGGAGGCTGCCCAGGCCAACGCCGACCCGGCGCCCCTGCTCAGCGCGGTCCTCCCGCAAGCATNAACGCCTTACGACGGCATGCTCACGTCGACTTTCGACAGATCTGCACCGTCAACATATTTGGTTCCCTGTCGTTTTCCACGTATCATTCCACATCTCACGACCAGGCCATGGAGGCTGCCCAGGCCAACGCCGACCCGGCGCCCCTGCTCAGCGCGGTCCTCCCGCAAGCATTCGACAGACACCCCAAGGTGGCCAGGCTGGGCGTGATCTACACGGCCGAGTGCTTGTCGCGGCTGCATGAGGGCAGTGTGGCGGGGGGCGGTCTGGTGGATGGTGTGGACGTGATGTCCGTTGTGGCGGCACTGGCCAAGGGGGCAACGAGCAGGGACTCGGATGGCAAGGACGCTGCCTGGAGCGGGGTGGAGATGTGAGATCAGCATGCCGTATGTGTTCCGTTGTCCGAGATCGGTTGAGTATCGATGTTTGCCTCTCGTGTTCGTCACCCCTCCTCCTTCCTCCTTCTCCTCTCTCCTGACATGAGATTGTATCCCGTAGGCGAGGAAATGTGGATCGAGATCGTAGGATACGAAAGAGAGCAATAATCCTTACCAGTGTGTCGAAAACTCGATCAAGGCGATAGAAAGTAGGCAGATACTGGCGGCATTGGGGGGGAAGGTGAAAGTGGTGGGAGTTTGGACATGTTTGGGCCGTCACGAGACGAGATAGGAGTCGAAAGCTATGTTGACGGCCTGAAATATGCTCTCAACAGAGCTTCAGATGCAGCTCGGGTAAAACGATCTGAGGTTGCGAGAAAAGGTTGAAGCGACATGCAGCAGAAACATGATACCGAGGCTTGTCCACCGATGCGTTAAGGCGCGAGAGAGTCGAGCTCAAACAATGACCTGGAGATAGGAGGGCATTTGGTACGGTGCGGTACAGGGTGCGAATAGTGTCCACAGCAGTCGTCGCTGTCGCTCATGGGGGTCAGAATGGTGATCTGGCTTGAACGAGATGTTGATAGATAGTCGAATGGACAAGGCGACATACAGAACGAGGGTGCCACTACCGTCCCCCACACCCGGTGACATCTTTTCTTCACTTTCCCGGCCGGCACACCTCCTTTCGTAGAGTCACATACGATATGGAGTGTGTAGGACTGCTGCGACACGGCAGTCCGACATGACAGAACAGGTCGGCGTGTGTGGCGCAGCTCCGTCACGGTATGTGTTGCGGTTGGAACGCCTCGCTGATCTTGCTCCCTTTTGCTCTTGACATGCCCACAATACCTCTCATGAACAAGCAGAGTCGCAAGGCCTTGGGGGAAGATGCGTTAAAGGCGACTATCGCCGAGCACGTCGACCGCAACAGAGTGCGAGCTATCCACGATCTCGTGTCCGGTAAGCGCGGAAGCACAACAGGGCAGCGGCAGCAGCAGCAGCAGCGGCGGTCGGCACGGCCACGGCCGGCCGTTCGGGTGTGCGTTCCCGTCGTAGGGTGGCTGACGGCGGTGTTTTCGGCAAGTCGGCAGCAAGGGGTGGTGTGGGTGGGCNCGGCCGTTCGGGTGTGCGTTCCCGTCGCAGGGAGGATGACGGCGGTGCTTTCGGCAAGCCTGCAGCAAAGGGTGGTCTGGGTGGGCGGGACGGGCCTACGACCGGCGGTGATGGCGGGTTTGGAGGCGAGACCTATATCGGTGGGCCGGCGAGGGTGTCTGACAAGACTGTTGGTTGGCTCTCGTCGTCATGTGACAGGGAGGCCGGGTCAGGCATCGCTGGCGGTGCTGGCGTTGCTGGCGTGGATGGATTTTGGCCCCGCCTCCAAACCCGCCATCACCGCCGGTCGTAGGCCCGTCCCGCCCACCCAGACCACCCTTTGCTGCAGGCTTGCCGAAAGCACCGCCGTCATCCTCCCTGCGACGGGAACGCACACCCGAACGGCCGGCCGTGGCCTTGCCGACCGCCGCTGCTGCTGCTGCTGCTTCTGCCTCTGACCTGATGTGCTTCCGCCCTATACCGGTCACGAGATCCTGGATAGCTCGCACTCCGTTGCGGTCGACGTGCTCGGCGATAGTCGCCTCGAACGCATCTTCCGCCAAGGTGTTGCGGCATCTGCTTGTTCGTGAGAGGTATTGTGGGCATGTCACGAGCGAACTAGACACGCCCACAATACCTCTCTCGAACAACCAGATGCCGCAAGGCCGTGGGGGAAGATGCGTTGGAGGCGACTATCGCCGAGCACGTCGACCGCAACGGAGTGCGAGCTATCCACGATCTCGTGACCGGTATAGGGCGGAAGCACATCAGGTCAGAGGCAGAAGCAGCAGCAGCAGCAGCGGCGGTCGGCAAGGCCACGGCCGGCCGTTCGGGTGTGCGTTCCCGTCGCAGGGAGGATGACGGCGGTGCTTTCGGCAAGCCTGCAGCAAAGGGTGGTCTGGGTGGGCGGGACGGGCCTACGACCGGCGGTGATGGCGGGTTTGGAGGCGAGACCTATATCGGTGGGCCGGCGAGGGTGTCTGACAAGACTGTTGGTTGGCTCTCGTCGTCATGTGACAGGGAGGCCGGGTCAGGCGGCGCTGGCGGTGCTGGCGGTGCTGGCGTGGATGGATTTGGCCCCGCCTCCAACCCGCCGTCACCGTCGGTCGTAGGCCCGTCCCGCCCACCCACACCACCCCATGCTGCAGGCTTGCCGAAAGCCCCGCCGTCAGCCACCCTGCGACGGGAACGCACACTCGAACGGCCGGCCGTGCCGACCGCCGCTGCTGCTGCTGCTTCTGCCGCTGCCCTGTTGTGCTTCCGCGCTTTATCGGACACGACATCGTGGATAGCTCGCGCTCCTTTGCGGTCGACGTGCTCGGCGGTAGTTGCCTCGAACGCATCTTCCCCCAAGGCCTTGCGGCATCTGCTTGTTCGTGACAGGTATTGTGGGCCTGTCTAGTTCTCTCTTGACATGGGCATGTCTAGTTCACGCTTGACATGCCCACAATACCTCTCACGAACAACCAGATGCCGCAAGCCTCTGGAATATAATAAGTTCGAGGCGACTATCGCCGAGCACGTCGACCGCAACGGAGCGCGAGCTATCCACGATCTCGTCTCCGGCAAAGCGCGGAAGCACAACAGGGCAGCGGCAGCAGCAGCAGCAGCAGCGGCGGTCGGCACGGCTAAAGCCGGCCGGTCGGGTGTGCGTACCCGTCGCAGGGTGGCTGACGGCGGGGCTTTCGGCAAGCCTGCAGCAAGGGGTGGTGTGGGTGGGCTGGACAGGCCTACGACCGGCGGTGATGGCGGGTTTGGAGGCGGGGCCAAATCCATCCACGCCAGCACCGCCAGCACTGCCAACGCCGCCTGACCCGGCCTCCCTGTCACATGACGACGAGAGCCAACCAACAGTCTTGTCAGACACCCTCGCCTTCATCCTCCCTGCGACGGGAACGCACACCCGAACGGCCGGCCGTGGCCTTGCCGACCGCCGCTGCTGCTGCTGCTGCTTCTGCCCCTGGCCTGTTGTGCTTCCGCGCTATACCGGACACGAGATCGTGGATAGCTCGCACTCCGTTGCGGTCGACGTGCTCGGCGATAGTCGCCTCGAACGCATCTTCCGCCAAGGTGTTGCGGCATCTGCTTGTTCGTGAGAGGTATTGTGGGCATGTCACGAGCGAACTAGACACGCCCACAATACCTCTCTCGAACAACCAGATGCCGCAAGGCCGTGGGGGAAGATGCGTTGGAGGCGACTTTCGCCGAGCACGTCGACCGCAAGGGAGTGCGAGCTATCCACGAGCTCGTGTCTGGTAATGCTCGGAAGCACAACAGGGCAGCGGCAGCAGCGGCAGCAGCAGCGGCGGTCGGCACGGCCGCGGCCGGCGGGTCGGGTGTGCGTTCCCGTCGCAGGGTGGCTGACGGCGGTGCTTTCGGCAAGCCTGCAGCATGGGGTGGTGTGGGTGGGCGGGACGGGCCTACGACCGACGGTGACGGCGGGTTGGAGGCGGGGCCAAATCCATCCACGCCAGCACCGCCAGCACCGCCAGCGCCGCCTGACCCGGCCTCCCTGTCACATGACGACGAGAGCCAACCAACAGTCTTGTCAGACACCCTCGCCGGCCCACCGATATAGGTCTCGCCTCCAAACCCGCCATCACGGCCGGTCGTAGGCCTGTCCCGCCCACCCAGACCACCCCTTGCTGCCGGCTTGCCGAAAGCACCGCCATCAGCCACCCTGCGACGCGAACGCACACCCGAACGGCCGGCCGTGGCCTTGCCGACCGCCGCTGCTGCTGCTGCTGCTTCTGCCCCTGGCCTGTTGTGCTTCCGCGCTATACCGGACACGAGATCCTGGATAGCTCGCACTCCGTTGCGGTCGACGTGCTCGGCAATAGTCCCCTCGAACGCATCTTCCCCCAAGGCCCTGCGGTATCTGCTTGTTCGTGACAGGCATCCTCACGGCCATCAGAACCTTGGAGTCCGTGATCGGCTCTCCGAGCATCACCGCAACACCTGCTGCCGGCGGGCGCTCGTCGTCCTTCTCCAAGTGCACCTCGAGACACTGGTCGGGCGTTCCCTTTGCCGGGGTCGCCGCCACCGCGTTCTCCCAGCATCGCGCTCCTTCTTCTCCGCTCGCCCCGACGCTTGACACCTTTGCATCCCCCTCCTCCTGTTGCTGCTGCTGCTTCTCCCCGCTGCAGCGGGCGGGGCCGCTCGCCTCCCCTTGCTTTGGCCGCCGAAGACATGACCGAAGTAATCTCCTTCGTCCACGGCCCTCCGGCTCCCTGCGTCGTCGTCCCTGTCCACATGCCATCGCCAAATCCATCCACGCCAGTACCGCCAGCACCGCCAGCGCCGCCTGACCCGGCCTCCCTGTCACATGACGACGAGAGCCAAGGAAGGGTGTGGTTCGACAGGCTGGCCGGCCCACCGGTGTAGGTCTCGCCTCCAAACCCGCCATCAACGCCGGTCGTAGGCCCGTCCCGCCCACCCAGACCACCCCTTGCTGCAGGCTTGCCGAAAGCACGGCCGTCAGCCACCCTGCGACGGGAACGCACACCCGAACGGCCGGCCGTGGCCTTGCCGACCGCCGCTGCTGCTGCTCCTGATGCCGCTGGCCCGTTGTGCTTCCGCGCTTCACCGGTCACGAGGTCATGGATAGGTCGCACTCCCTTGCGGTCGACGTGCTCGGCGGTAGTCGCCTCGAACGCATCTTCCCCCAAGGCCTTGCGGCATCTACTTGTTCGTGAGATGCATCCTCACGGCCTTCAGAACCTTGGAGTCCGTGATCGGCTCTCCGAGCATCACGGCACTACCTGCTGCCGGCGGGCCCTCGTCGTGCTTCTCCAAGTGGATCTCGGGACACTGGTCGGACGTTCCCTGTGCCGGGGTCGCCGTCAACGCGTTCTCCCAGCATCGAGATCCTTTTTCCCCGCTCGCCCCGACGCTCGACACCTTCATAAACCCCTCCTCCTGTTGCTGCTGCTTCTTCTCCCCGCTCGAATTTTTACGGGGCTGCAGCGGGCGGGACCGCTCGCCTTTCCTTGCTTGCGCCGCCGAAGACATGACCGAAGCAATCTCCTTCGTCCACGGCCCTCCCGCGCCCTGCATCGTTGTCCCTGTCCACATGCCACCGCCAAATCCATCCACGCCAGCACCGCCGGCACCGCCATCGCCGCCTGACCCGGCCTCCCTGTCACATGACGACGAGAGCCAAGGAAGAGTGTGGTCAGACAGGCTGGCCGGTCCACCGGTGTAGGTCTCGCCTCCAAACCCGCCATCACCGCCGGTCGTAGGCCCGTCCCGCCCACCCACACCACCCCTTGCTGCAGGTTTGCCGAAGGCACGGCCGTCAGCCACCCTGCGACGGGAACGCACACCCGAACGGTCGGCCGTGGCCTTGCCGACCGCCGGTGCTGCCGCTCCTGATGCCGCTGGCCTGTTGTGCTTCCGCGCATTACCGGACGCGAGGTCATGGATAGCTCGCACTCCGTTGCGGTCGACGTGCTCGGCGATAGTCGCCCCGAACGCATCTTCCCCCACGGGCTTGCGGCATCTGCTTGTTCGAGAGAGATATTGTGGGCGTGCCTAGTTCACTCTTGACATGCCCACAATACCTCTCTCGAACAACCAGATGCCGCAACACCTTGGCGGAAGATGCGTTCGAGGCGACTATCGCCGAGCACGTCGACCGCAA